CTCTCTCTCTCTCTCTCTCTCAACAGGGCACATTAATCTGTGGAAGGGGCCTCTGAAGAACGACATTGGGGTGCTGATTACAACGTCGTCGATGAGTCTATTGATTACACTGGTCCTCCTCCTCCTCCTCCTCCCTCCCTCCCTCCCTCCCTCCCACCCTCCCTCCATCCCTCCCTCTCCTTCCCCACCCCTCACCCCCCCACCATCCCTCTCTCCCTCCCTCCTTCCCTCCCTCCTCCGCCCTCCTCTTCCCTCTCTTCATCCATCCATCCATCCCTCCCGCCCTCCGGCCCTCCCACCCTCCCCCCCCCGCCCCCCCGCCAGCCCGCCCTCCCGCCCCCCCGCCCTCCCGCCTTCCAGCCTTCTCGCCCTCCCGCCCTCCCGCCCTCCCCTCCGCCCTCCCTCCCACCGTCCCGGCATCCCTGCTATCGCCTTCCTCCTCATTTTTCCTCCTCGTCCCTCCCCTCCCTCCTCCTCGTCTCTGCTCTCTCCTCCCTCCTCCCCTCCTTCCCGCAACCATCCTCCCCGCCCCTCCTCCCTCCTCCCCTTCCCTACTCCCCCTCCCTCCTACGTACCTTCTGCTTCCTCCTCTTCCCTCCTACCTCCTCTCCACGTCCCCTCCCTCCCCCCAAATCCTCCCTCTCAATCCTCCCCTCCTCTCTTTTCCTTGTCCCTCTTCCCTCCTCCCCCCCTCCTCACTCCTCCCTCCTCCCCTCCTCCTGCGTCGTCCCCTCCAACCTCCTCATCCCCCCGCCTCCCTCCTCCATCATTTATCATCCCTTCTGCATCTTCCCTCCCCCCTCCTCCATATTCCCTCTTCCCTCCTCCCTCTTCCCACATCCCTCCTCCATCTTCCTCGACCTCCTCCTCCTCCTCGTCCTCCTCCTCGCCCTCCTCCTTCCTCCTCCTCCTCCTCCTCTCCTCCTCCTCCTCCTCCTCCTCCTCCTCTTCCTCCTCCTTCCTCCTCCTTCCTCCTCCTCCCTCTCCTCCTCCTCCTCCTCTACCTCCTACTCCTACTCTTCTCCTCTTACTCATCGTTATCCCGTCTACATCATCATCCTCTTCCTCCTCCTCCTCCCTCCTCCTCCTCCTCCTCGTCTCGTCCTCATCATCATCATCATCATCATCATCATCATCATCATCATCATCATCATCATCATCATCATCAATCATATCATCATCATCAGCATCATCATCATCATCATCATCATCATCATCATCATCATCATCATCATAATCATCATCATCATCATCAGCATCATCATCATCATCATCATCATTATCAGCATCATCATCATCATCATCATCATCATCATCATCATCACCACCATCATCATCATCATCATCATCCTCATCATCCTCATCATCATCATCAGCATCATCATCATCATCATCATCATCATCATCATCTTCATCATCATTATCATCAGCAGCATCAGCATCAGCATCACCATCATCGTCATCATCACCACCACCACCACCGCCACCACCACCACCACCACAACCATCATCATCATCATCAGCAGCAGCATCATCATCAGCATCATCATCCTCCTCACCCTCATCATCCTCAACATCATCGACCGCCTGTGTCTCCTCATCATCCTCATCATCCTCCTCATCCTCCTCCGCATCCTCCTCATCATCCTCGTCCTCCTCCACCTCCTCCTCCTCATCATCATCAGCATCATCCTCCTCATCCTCATCATCATCATCAGCATCATCAGCATCAACAGTATCCCCATCATCATCATCATCATCATCATCATCATCATCAGCCTCATCATCAGCATCAGCAGCAGCGGCATCATCAGCATCCTCATCCGCATCAGCATCAGCATCAGCATCAGCATCATCATCATCCTCATCACCATCAGCATCAGCATCCGCATCGTCATCAACCGCATCACCATCATCATCGTCATCATCAGCAGCAGCATCATCACCACCACCACCATAACCACCATCGTCATTATCAGCATCATCATCAGCAACATCAGCATCATCACCATCATCATCATCATCCGCAGCAGCATCGTCATCATCAGCATTAGCAGCAGCACCATCGTCATCAGCATCAGCATCAGCACCACCACCACCATCGTCATCATCATATATACATGTATATCAACAACATCGTAATCGCATTACAAATAAGCATCGTCGTCATCAGCATCATCTTCAGCAGCATCATCGTGATAGTGGGCATCATCGTCAGCATAATCAGCATCATCAGCACCAGCGTTAACATCATCGTCATCAGCGTCGTCGTCACCAGCATCATCATCATGAAAACGAAAATCAGGATCATCAGAAGCATCAGCATCGTCACCATCATCAAAAATACCGCTTATACGATCTGAATGAGAGTCATAACAGTATTAGAAAGATTGACGATGTCAGTGAACAATATATCAGCGTAATCATAATCCTCATCATAATCCTCATCATCATCGTCATCATCATCAGCAGCATCATCATATTCATATTTATCAGCAGCATCATCATAATTATCAGCAGCAACGGCATCATGATCCCTAATGTCACCTGTCCATAGCTTAATCCAGTTCTCCGCCATCTACCATCTAATCGTTATCACCATAGTCATCATCATCATCAGCAGCAGTATCATCATCATCGTCATCATCATTGGCATCATCCTCGTCAGCATCATCATCATCGTCGTCATAATCCTGGTCGTGATCATCATCAGCAGCAGCACCATCATCATCATCGTCGTCGTGGTCGTGGTCGTGATCGTGGTGCTTGTCGTCCTCGTCGTCATCATCATGATGATCATCAGCATACTCACCATACTCATCATCATCAGCATCATCATCAGAATCGTCATCCTTAGCATCATCATCATCATCACCACCATCATCATCAGAAGTGTGTATTCCCCCTCCTCCTTTTCTGTCCCCTCTCCTAAGAAGCCCAACAGGATCCAAAAGGCATCCAATGATGCCCCAAGAGAACCCCAAGATGGCCTTGAGAAACGAAGGCCGTCACTGTTGGCCCCGGCTTCTTCGCGCCTCTGAACTGTTACGGAAATCCCACAAGCCAACCGAACGACGAACGAGGTGTGCGCAGGTGATACGGCGGTTGTCCCCCGCTTTGGTGCCGCTGCATCTTCCTACAACCCCCTGATCACTGATGGAACCTTTTTCTGCTGAAACTCACCGCGCGAGCGATCCGTCTCACAGGCCTCCCGAATGCGCCGGCTGCGGGCAGCCTGGACTACGCTGCGACGGAGAAGACGAAACGAGACGCGAGAAGGAAGCTGACGACGGCGAACGCGCAAGCGGGGGACCAGGGCCGGCGGGACGAAGCAGGCAAGCGGGCGGGCGGGAAAGGACTGAAGGGGAGACAGCAAGCACGGAGCAAGGGAGGAGGAGGCGAAGGGAAGGAGGAGGAGGGACGGCAAACAAGAAGGAGGGAGGGGAGGAGCAACCGCAAGCAGACGGGCCGGAAAAAGGGCCAGGAGGGAAGAGCCACCCGCAACGAGGCTACGGACACTACGGCGGCGACACCGACAAGGCGCCAGAGGCAAAAGAACTGCTGGAGTGGATGGCGGTTGTCGGGTTCGACGTGGGCGGGCCGTTATGAGGGGTCGTCGTGAGGGGGTCGTCGAAGGGGGGTCATCGGTCGCAAAGGGCGTCGGGAAGGGCGTCGGGGAAGGGGTCGGGAACTTTGTGGGGTGCCTAGCTGACCCCAGTGCGGCTTGGTGGGCAGTATCCTCTGCGGGATCTTTCCACCGCCCCGCCGAGGAAGGGACGGTCAGCGTGTATGCGGCGACCCTGGCGCGACGCCCGCGGAGGGGCACGAGAGGGTCGAGCATGCTGCCCAGCAAGGATGGGGGGGAGCTTAACACAGCGACCGCCGCGGAGACCGCCGCGGAGACAGCCGCGGAGACCGCCGCGGAGACCGCCGCGGAGACCGCCGCGGCCGCGGCTAAAGCGGCTACGGCCACTCCTGCCCCTCTAGCCTGTGAGGCGCCGCATCACCGCCCGCGCGTATTCTCAACGCCGATACATGGGAAGTCGCTGAATGGGCAACTCGCCTGGGGATCGTCTATGGATGAGCGGATGGGCTGGTGAGGATCCACGAAGCGTCAAGACCCTTCATTGCGCTCGCTCGTCGGCGACTGGTTTCCGACTTCTGGAAACTCACTCCACGGGTCCAGGATATAGTCTTCTCCGCCATTCCCAGTACTCCTCCGCCGCAGCTGGCCACGGGCATCGTAGTATCTCTCGCGTCGATGAGTGGATCTGTGCTGCCTTTATGCCTCCTCGTCGGCGCATTCGGGCCTCCTGGCGCCTCTCTAATCCCTCTCTGAGGACTTCGGGGCTCCATTCCCTGCTTGCGACGTCTCCGCTCAGCACAAGAGAGAGTCCAAGGACCCAGAAGTGACCAAAAACAGATGCAGGAGTGATCGAGCTGTCAAGGGACCAGTTGTCTTTGAGGCCTTGCAGCCCAGAGAAACCCCTAAAGGCCGAAAAGTGAGAAGAGCTCAAAATCAGTTTCCCCCAGACTCCGCCGATCTTCCTGCTCGGATCGGATAAGAAGGTGTAGGCCCCGGGCCTCGAAGTGGATCTTTGGTCCCGTCCCACGGTGCGTTCTGGCCACAATTGCACGACGTGAATCCACCCGTGGCGACGAGAAGCCTGCCCGAGGACCGAAAAAGGCCAAGAACATCCAGAAACTCATTCAGGGCGAGCGGACGGCGTCGACGGCGACCGCGACGGCGGCGGCGGATGCCGAAACGACGGCGACGACGGCGGCGACGGCGGCGGCGACGGCGGCGACGACGGCGACGGCGACGGCGAGGACGCGGCCTGCACGAAGACGACGACGCCGACGACGACGACGACCACGAAGGCGAAGACGCGGCCTGCGGCGACGGCATCGGTGTCAGCGTCGGCGCCGACGCCGACGGCAACGACGGCGGCGTTGGCGGCCTGCGATGACGACAACGGCGGTTTGCGGCGGCGGGGCGCCCTGTCTGGCAAGCCCCCGCCCTCGTGCCGGGCGGCGCCGAGGAAGGGCAGCGCGGCTGCCACGACGGCCACGGAGGCGAGGGCCACCACGGCCGCCGCCAGGCGGCGGGGCAGACTGCCGAGAGCACCCTGCGGGTGGGCAGGCCGACCCCTCGCGTTCCTCCTCGTTATCCTGATATTCCTCGTCGTCGTCGTCGTTGTCCCGCCTCCTCCTCCTCCTCCTCCTCCTCCTCCTCCTCCTCCTCCTCCTCCTCCTCCTCGTCCGTGTCGCACCCCGAGGCCAGTCGGAAGGGCGGGGCTTGGCGCTTCGACCAAGACTGCATCACCACTTATGAACCTGAAATTTAAAAACTTGCAACAGCTTCACAGATTGAGGGCGGGTCGATTCCAAAATGTGATTTTCCCGCTAGCGCCGGGCACATTCGCTTCAAAAAATTGCGAAAGCTTCGCGGTTTGAGGGCAAGGCGTTTTCAAAATGTGGCTCTCGCCTTGGCGCCGCGCGCATTCGTTTCTTATGTGCAAGAGCTTCACGGATTGAGGGCAGGTGGCTTTCAAAGTGTGGTTTTCGCCTTAGCGTCGCGCACCTACACTTTCAACAACTGCGAGGTTCACGGATTGACGGAGGGTGGTTTTTTGAAAATGTGGCGCTCGCCTGGGCGCCGCGCACATTCGCTGATGAATTCCGGCAAGGAAATTATCGGATTGAGGGCGGTGCCTTGAACTGTGGCTCTCGCCTTGGTGCCGCGCGCAGTCGTTCCAAAAGGTTGCACGAGTTTCATCGGTTCTCATGGGCCACGAGCGAAAAATGGTGTTTTGGAATGGTTCAAGATTGCCAGGGAACAACAGTTACGTTGATTCGGTAACGGCATTCTGGCGCGAATCAGGATCGTCAGGACGCAACTACGTGGCTGGCTCGTGGCGTTGAAATCCTGAGAACTGTGTTTTGGCACGCTTCAGGATTTTCACACGGTTGCCCCCAAAGGGGGCACTTCCAGCAATGGAAAACGAACCCTTGTAGAGGATTATAAAGAGGGATGAAGGGAGGGTATCTTCCAACATCGTTGCTGGGTCTTGGGTTTACACTGATCCTCCTCCTCCTCCTCCTCCTTTTCCTCCTCCTCCTCCTCCTCCTCCTCCTCCTCCTCCTCCTCCTCCTCCTCCTCCTCCTCCCCTCCTCCTCATCATCCTCCTCTTCCTCATCCTTTTTCTGCAACGTTTCCTCCTGCTCCTCCTACTGTTCATCCCCCCCCTGGTCCTCATCCTCGTCCTCCTGCCCGCCGTAGTCCTCACAATTCCCGTCGTCGTCATGTTCGGTCTCTGCCCCCCCCTAGGCCTCGTACTGCACCTGCTCTTCCTGTTTTTCCTGCTCTTCCTGCTTTTCCTGCTCTTCCTGCTCTTCCTGTTCCTGTAATTCATGGTCGTCATCACCCTGCTCCTGCTAATCCTTATCCACATGATCGCCGTCCTCCTTGCATGCTGCATCGCGCATTCATCGAGTGAGGTTGCTGATACAACGCACGACACTACTATTGGTGCTGCTGGACCACACGACTGTCGCCACGGATACGTGCAGCATAATTCACAAAGATTGCTGGAAACATTGCTTGCGCTGCGAACGTGACTGATGACGAGTTCGAAGATGCCGTGGGTGCGACTACTACTGCTGCTACCACACCACTACTACCACTACAACTACAACTACTACTACTACTACTACTACTACTACTACTACTACTACTACTACTACTACTACTACCACTACTACTACTACTACTACTACTACTACTACTACTACTACTACTACTACTACTACTACTACTACTACTACTACGACTGCTACTACTACTACTACTACTACTACTACTACTACTACTGCTGCTGCTACTGGCGGTGTCGTGCACCACATCACCACGGATCAACCACCTCGGGAAGAGCGCCCTTGTGGCTGCCCCATTTCCAATATGTAGCGGGCACCTCTTCTGTGTGAAAGGGCGGGTCTGACGTGCATGCAGCGGCGGGCGCTTATCCGAGGGCAGCTGGTCCCTACGGCCCAAAGTAAAGCGACAGCGGCGGTACAGCAGCACACGGGGCGACCCCAGCACCGCCATCGAGGCCAACAAGCGCAGGAAGGCGCGAGAGGAGGCCAGGATGGCAAGCCAAAATGGCTAGGCGCCCAGCGGCGTCGCGGCAGCACACGGGGCGACCCCAGCACCGCCAGCGAGGCACACGAGCGCAAGTAGGCGTGAGAGGAGGCCAGGATGGCAAGCCAGTTGGCAAGCCAGGGTGGCTAGGCGCACAGATGACCGCGCGCAGAGCGGAGGCTAAAGCAACAGGGGCCGCGGCGCGAGGGGGGTACCACTGCGAGCACACCGCGCTCGCGGGTACGGCGGCGTTGCAGCCGCTGGGGCGTAAGCAGACCTACAGGTTCAGCACCTCTGAGCGTGGCAGGCACGAGATCTTGGCATGGACTCACGTAGCCTCCCCGAGAGCTTGGAGGTATCCGATGCTGTGGGCCTGCTGGGTTTCATCATTCAGGAGGACTGGCCTGCTCCCTGCGCAGTGGCTGCAAAGACCTGCGACGGCAGCGCTTGCACTTCTCCCCCGAGGTCGCCACTGCCGCCCGCCTGCCCTGAGGGCCCAAAGATCTGGCGCTCGAGATCTTCGCCGAGGGCCACGTTCAGGGCGGCCACATTTGGGATCTGCTGCGGGAGCGCGCCCGTCGGCGGCGGCGGGTCCGTCGGCGGCGGCGGCGCCACAGGGGGCGCCGTCAGCGGCGGCGGCGGCGGGGCCATGATGGCCGCTGGCGGGGCCCCAGCAGGCGGTGGTGGCGGGTCCCGGCTGCCGCGGGCCGCGCCAGCTGGAGGGGCGCCGGCGGTGCGGACGGGGGCGGCACGCGGGGCGACCCCCGTACCACCCCCGCCGCCCGTGAGGCTGCCCTCCCGCAGGTTGTGGCGGCGCTCGTAGAGCGCCAGCTCCCTGTACGCCGTCTCCAGGCGTCCCCTCTTGGCCCTATTCCGCTGCTTCTTGGTGTAGCCCGCCCACTCTGGGTCGTTCAGTCCCCAGGCGACCTGCGCGCACAGGTCGGCCCACTTGAACTCGGTCAGGCTCTCCCAGGAGAGCCCCTCCATCAGCACATAGTGGCCCTCCCACTGCGGCTGGTGTGGAGCGTAGCGCTTGAAGACGGTGCCCACCGCCAGCGGCTCGACCTTGGGCAGGTGCTGCAGGAGGTCCACAGCGCTGAACACCGCTACCCCCTCCCTCTTGAGCTTGTGGTAGCGCAGCAGGGCCTTCAAGTCGCGGATGTCCTCCTCGGGCTGTTCCGCGTGCATGTAGTACGCACGTGGCGGGTTTTGCTCCTCTTCTATCAACTCGATGCAGACGCCGTAGGAGGTCGCGTAACGCGCACCACAATGGCAGCACCAGCGCTGGCCGGTCTCCCCCGCCGCCTCCTGCGCGCAGGTGAGCAGTTGCGCCCAGCGATCCGAGCGGATCACCGAGCAGCATCCCCTGGGATTATCCCAGGTCTTGTTGGCCGAGCACTTGTAGTACATGTTGAACGTGAAGCCCTTGCCACGGTAGAACTGGTCCGCGTAGTCCCCCATGCGTCGGTAGGCCTCCTGCGCCGCGGCGTTGCCCCGGCACTCTTCCTTCCAGGCACGTTTGTCCCAGGTGTGCGTCCGCGACCCCCGAGGCTTCCAGGAGGCCCTTCTTCAGCCTTCCCACATCATCCTCTGCCTCCTCATTCAGCGCGTCGGGCCACTTCTGGACCCCGTCCTGCGCCTCTGTGCCCCTCACCATGTCCTCTTTCTTCTCCAGGATGGGCCCCAGGCCTCCCAGCATGTGGGCGCGCACGGTCTCGAATTTGAGGACGCCATAGGCCCGCGCCATACGCTTCAGCGATTTCTTGGAGAGGCCGAGCCGCAGCAGGGGCTCGATATCCGCGACCTCCTCCACGGTCTTGACGTCGGTCAGCTGGTGCTCCTGGTCCTCACCATCGTTGTCAGGCGGGGGGTCGCTCTCATCGCCACGGGGAGGGCCTGCGGGGCCAGGTCCATCCTCGAGGGGTGGGGGTGGCGCGCGGGGCGGCCCCGGCACCACCCCCACCACCATCGCCATCGGGCGACCGACCTCCTCCGCCACCGTTTCCGTGGCTGGGGGGGCGCCCGTGCTCTCGGGATCGATGCCCACCCCTACGCCCTCCGTTGACCTCCGCAGGGCAAGCAAGCCTTATTCGGAGAGCGCGAACCCTACCAGCACGTCCATGCCCTCCTTGATGCGGTCGAAGCTCGCACGGAACTTCGCCACTCGCTTGGCGGCGTGGTCGATGGAGCCTGCACCCTTGTTCAGGCGCGCTGCGCGCGTCACGGCCTCGTGCTCGGTGATGTTCTGCGTCGCCGCCACGCAGCGCGAGCACGTGTATAGCTTGCATTGGCCCTGAGCACCCTTCCGCAGATCGGGGCATTTCTGGTTGCGCCCTGAAGCCTCAGCGTAGCGGCGCATCTCACCACGACTGAGCTCGTCCACGTACTCCACCATCATGATCTTCCAGTCGTCCAGCTCTGTGCACACCCGACACCAGCCCAGGCGCTGCGGCGGGACCCAGTACGCACCCATGCAGTGGACGTAGCCCGCCTCGGCGTAGTCCTCGTCTGCCATCATCTCGGCGCCCTCGAGCGCGGCAGGTGCGCCGCCGCTCGGCGGGGGGGCCTGGCCGTAGGCGGCCTTGTTGCTGCGTCGGCGGTGGCGTTTGCCTCCATGACCGCTGAGGGCGCCCGTGGTCGCTGCACTCGGGGCCTCACTGGCGGTCTCATCGTCCACAGAGCGGCCGCCATCGGCGTCGCTGCGCGCACCTCGGCCGCCGCGGCCGCCCACGGCCTGTTCCCGCAGCTGGAGGTTGTGGAGCGCGAGGGTGATCGCGTCCAACCCGCGGCGCTGCTCCGCGGTGAAGTTGGAGTAGGTGGCTGCCGCTGCCAGGGCAGCCCTCGTCACTGGCACCACCGCCGACGTGGGCATCGTGGAGGCCTCAGCAGGCGCCTCGGCCGCCGCCGTGGGGCCTCCGTCCGAGGCACCTTCGGAGGCAGCGGCACTGGGGGAGGCCCCCGTACCGCTGCCTCCGTCGGCGCCCTCGGCAG